GCGTAGGGTAGGTGCAGACAATTGATTGTGTTGGGGTATTTCAACATAGGCTTCTCTCGTAGTTCTTCAAGTTTACGCGATTTAATGTATATTTTAAGTTGTAATGGTATGCGATTCCCACTATTTCTGATAATACACGAGTAACCAAAAAATCTGTTTCATGTATAGACACCATATTAATTAGTGATAATATTACACTTTATCAGTGAAATAATCAATTCATGTTTATAAGACCATACATAAACTTGAATACTAGGGAGGGGAGTTCCGCTCCTCGAATTTTTAAAGTAACTACGAAAAAAACTGCGGAGGATTTGAATGGCATAGTTGTAAAGTTTTTGTCAAGTTTTTTTATAATAATCATACAAAACTTAATAAATAAACACTTACCCATAAAAAGAGTTAGTAGTAGGGGTAATAATCTTCCTGTTCGCTGGTACATTAGTAAGCTCAAAACAAAAGAAGGCAAATGCAAGTTGTTAAATCCATTGCTGGCGGTTTGAATAGTGTATAGAACCTACGACCGATCACTGCGACAGGATTATAAAAAATCAACAATTCTCAAAAAAAAGACTACCCACAGTACTTCAGAGAGAAAAAAATCATCAGGCTAGATTGAGAAATAACTCTAATCTAACAGCTAGGGGTTCAACGAGTATTTTCTCGAAGCATTTATATTTATACACAAATTATACATTGATCAAAATATTCATGACAAATTGATTGATGAAAAACAAACCTTTTGCACGCGGTGATAAAATAAATGTTTGCAATTTCCCTAAATTTCTTTTCAGTGGTCGGCTTCATATGCAAAAGCTGCAAAACTTTCCATTAAAAATAAGTGATTTCATGGAGTATAGTCGCGATAGTAGAGGCCCCAAACAAAAAAGCCAGACTTCTAAATGATTTTTGGAATCTGTAAAAATATTTAAAATATACATTCAGTTTTTATCTGAGGTCTCGGTTATCGTTTAACTTATCAATAAAGTAAAAAGCGACCCTTCAATAGTTTTTTATTTAGAATCCAGTGGCGAAGTCTAATCTTTTATGTCGTTCGTTAGTTATATAATTAGTTATAATATATTACATTATTATATTCCTCTTGAAATAATATTGTTTTATAACTAACAAACTTTGAAGCTCAGAAAAAAATCGATTTCATCATTAAATTTTTGCTAAAAAACTCAATATGAGCCAGTCTTCATCCTTCTGAAAAGCAAAGTACTGTAAAATTAAAGTATTTTGGATCAAATATAATGAAAATAAGCTAATATTTTTTCTAGTTGCAGACGCCAAAAAGACATATGGTAAGTTTTAGGATAACAGTTCAAGGTACATTTGATATCATATTGATACCTACCATACTGTATACCTCGGAGGTCAGGAGATTCCGCAGTAGAAGATAATATCGTCTGACCATATTTTAAAAAAAAATTTGGAAAAAAAACCAGCAATTGGTAATTTAAAAAATGACAACCAAGAATTTGCGGATGAAATTACTAATGTTGTTAGTAACGATGACACACAACAGATGGCTGACCTCCTTTTAATAATGGCATCATCATGACAATGGCATGACGTTTTACACCTCTCTCGGAAACCTCAACCTCGCTCATTGAATGTTCCTCAGCTACCAATTTTTAACGCCATCAGCACCTTCGACTATCAAGAAGGCAGAAAATTTAGGATACAAAAAAAGATCTGCCCGACCAATAAAATATAAGGTTTACTAGAGGCAGAGATTATCTTCTGCTGCTCCAAATTCACCAATGATGCCACCTGCAACTGGTAATTTAAATAAAGACAACCAAGAATTTGCTGATGAAATTATTAATGTTATTAATAAAGATGATACACAACAGATGGCTGACCTCCTTTTGACAATGGCATCATCATCCTCTGACAATGGCATCACCTCCTTTTACACCTCTCTCGGAACCTCAACCTCATCTATTGAATGTTCCTCAGCTGCCAATTTTCAACGCCATCAACACCTTCGACTATCAAGAAGGCAGAAAATTTAGGATACAAAAAAAGATCTGCCCGACCAATAAAATATAAGGTTTACTAGAGGTAGAGATCATCTTCTGCTGCTCCAAATTCACCAATTATGCCACCTGCAACTGGTAATTTAAATAAAGACAACCAAGAATTTGCTGATGAAATTATTAATGTTATTAGTAAAAATAACATACAACAGATGGCTGACTTCCTTTTGACAATGGAATCATCATCTTCTGACAATGGCGAGCTTTTACATCATTCTCGGAAACCTCAACCTCATCTATTGAATGTTCCTCAGCTGCCAATTTTCAACGCCATCAACACCTTCGACTATTAAGAAGGCCGAAAATTTAGGATACAAAAAAAGATCTGCCCGACCAATGAAATAGGGCAAGGCGAGGGGCAAGGTTTACTAGGATCTTCTTCTGCTGCTGCAAATTCACCAATCGTGCAACCTGCAACTGGTAATTTAGATAAAGATAACTAAGGATTTGCTGATGAAATTATTAATGTTATTAGTAAAGATGACACACAACAGATGGCTGACCTCCTTTTGACAGTGGCATCATCATCCTCTGACAATGGCATCACCTCCTTTTACCTCGCCTATTGAATGTACCTCACCTATTGAATGTTCCTCAGCTACCAATTTTTAATGCCATCAACACCGTCGACTATCAAGAAGGCAGAAAATTTCGGATACAAAAAAGATCTGCCCAACCAATGAAATAGGACAAGGTTTACTAGAGGTAGAGATCTTCTGCTGCTGCAAATTCACCATTACTGCAACTGGTAATTTAAGTAAAGATAACCAAGAATTTTCTGATGAAATTATTAATGTTATTAGTAAAGATAACACACAACAGATGGCTGACTTCCTTTTGACAATGGCATCATCATCCTCTGACAATGGCATCACCTCCTTTTACATCTCTCTCGGAAACCTCAACCTCATCTATTGAATGTTCCTCAGCTGCCAATTTTCAACGCCATCAACGCCTTCGACTATCAAGAAGGCAGAAAATTTAGGATACAAAAAAAGCTCTGCCCGACCAATGAAATAGGGCAAGGCGAGGGGCAAGGTTTATTAAAGGTAGAGATCTTCTGCTGCTGCAAATTCACCTATGGTGCAACCTGCAACTGGTAATTTAGATAAAGATAACTAAGAATTTGCTGATGAAATCATTAATGTTATTAGTAAAGACGACACACAACAGATGGCTGACCTCCTTTTGACAGTGGCATCATCATCCTCTGACAATGGCATCACCTCCTTTTATACCTCTCTCGGAAACCTCAACATCACCTATTGCATGTACCTCACTTATTAAACGTTCCTCAGCTACCAATTTTCAACGCCATCAACACCGTCGACTATCAAGAAGGCAGGACATTTCGGATACAAAAAAGATCTGCCCGACCAATGAAATAGGACAAGGTTTACTAGAGGTAGAGATCTTCTGCTGCTGCAAATTCACCATTACTGCAACTGGTAATTTAAATAAAGATAACCAAGAATTTGCTGATGAAATTATTAATGGTATTAGTAAAGATAACACACAACAGATGGCTGACTTCCTTTTGACAATGGCATCATCATCCTCTGACAATGGCATCACCACCTTTTATACCTCTCTCGGAAACCTCAACCTCACCTATTGAATGTTCCTCAGCTACTCAATTTTCAACCAACAACACCTTCGATTATCAAAAAGGCAGAAAATTTAGGATAATTTAAATAAAGATAACCAAGAATTATTAATGTCATTAGTAAAGATGGCACACAACAGATGGCCGGCCTCCTTTTGACAATGGCATCATAATCCTCTGACAATGGCATCAACTCCTTTTACACCTCTCTCGGAAACCTCAACCTCACCTATTGAATGTTCCTCAGCTACTCAATTTTCAACGCCATCAACACCTTCGATTAGCAAGAAAGCAGAAAATTTAGAATACACAAAAAGATCCGCCAGACCAATGAAATAGGGCAAGGTTTACTAGAGGTAGAGATCTTCTTCTGCTGCTGCAAATTCACCAATGGATCGCGATCACATTTGTCCACTAGATAGAGATACAGAAGTAAATCAAAAATGCAGAAAGCTAAAGAAATATCAAATTTATGCGGCTTTCTTTACAACCTTATGTAAAGGACAGCAAATAAAATATCTGATTATTTCATAGAAAGACACAAATCTACAATATAGTATAATACAGAAGTAATTTTAGATAACCGTAAATTTTCTCTTCAACACTGCATATTGTCCATAATGAGGTAATAATAGATGTCGAATTAACAGCTGTCTACAAAGTTCAAGCTCTATTATGCAATTTTTGGGATATCATAACCGGTAGAAATGAAGTTCCCTCTTGAACTACTGAATTAAGAATATTACTTATATCTAAAAAATAATTAAAATACCGTCCTTACATCGACAATATGTAGCCGAAAGATACCGTAATATAGTACACTACTAGATAATTCTAATATTCAATCATCCCGATCGCCGTATGCCAGTCCTGATTTATTAGTACACAAAAGAAATGGCGAGCCAAAGCTACAATACAATTTCAGGACTCTTAATTGTATTACGGTCAAAGACCTTTTCAATAGTGATCGAGTGATAATAAATACTATCCATACCACTTTAATTATGTATGCTGCTCGATTTTACCAAATTAAAGAGCATTAATAATTCTTATAGGTGTTAAATAGATCATTTCCTAAACATTCCCGCTAGTTCTAGTTGCTTACTAACTTTTACTTTACGGCATATCAGTAGCTAAATAACGTATGGTCGTAAAGTTTTGGGAAAATTTTCATCTGGTTTGGTTAAGGTAATAAAATGCATTTAATGAAGTAGTCATGGTAATGAAATGTCATCAGTCTTGTCACTTATATAATAAACAAAGCAAAAGATTTTGGGAATTTAGTATCAGTAGGTACTTTTTTTCAAACAATTTTAGAACCCATTAACAATCAGGAAAACAAACAATATACTTAGATTATCAAAATTTTAATTAACATTAAATTACTTAATAATATAATACCGTATATCTTCCGTATCTTGAAATGAAATCAGTTCAAAATACGTCATGAGTCTAGTACCTAATTCCGAAACTACGACGTTTACAATAAAATACCGCTAACAGAAATATTAGGCATGCTGGTAACAACTCTTCGAAAGGTATCAACCGAACAAGCATAGCAGAAACCTTGTTCTTGATCAGAATTGTTAGTCTTCAACCAAATTAACTGATCTGATATGTCATTACAGAGAGGCGTATAAGTTTGATAATAAGGATTATTTACACCTATTAAGGCAACTCCCCGTTCGGTTATTGGGTTGTAAGCTACTTTCCAATATACCTCTGGAACGGGTAGTGCTTTCCTGTTCTCCGTTGAATTAACGTACAGATAAAGTTCGACTGGATCTCCAGTTCCTTGATGAGGCAAAGTTGCCACGCCATAAACACCAGTCCACACCCATAAATCCACAGAATTATCTTCAGCGTAGTCTCTCACATCAATTTCGATTTGGTTCCAGTTAAATCCATTGAACGTTTGCCATTGGGGCGCTATATTCATCATAAAGAAAGTGGCGTTTTGCTGGGCTGGATAAAAACCGTCACTTCCAGCTGTTTGATGACCCCTGGATAAAAAGTAGTTCGTGTCATCTTCTATAAATAACGTCGAGGTTTCGTTTAGTCCGATTAAAGAGTTTATCGTCCTTCTTTGATTAGCACGTTTATATAAATTTGTTACCGTGCCGATATCGTAAAATTCTGATCCTTGTAACCACGATGGTCTTGGAGTATTCAAAGCTCGCTGATTAATCGAGGCCGTTTGATTTATAAAAGTATAATGAGCAACCTGTAGTACTGGGTCGAAACAAATCGACATGGATCGTAAAAATCGATTATCTCCTGTATCAAAACCAATTTCGATATCGAGACCGTTATTCTCGCACGTTGCTCCAGTATATCTAGCTGTTCGCCAAGGATAGTTGCTGCAGTCCATATTAGGCCAGTCGATTTGAGCATTATTAATTACAAAGGTGTTGTTTTCAAGACAATAGCCTGATAGAACACTTTGATTACTGTTAATGTTATTTAGAAGAACATTTCTTCCGGGACAGAGAATGTCGACGGATTGGTGATAGTCGAACCTTAAGACATTTTCTCCTGGCAATGGATAGAGGAAGTCACTGGTGCCAGATATGACAACAAACGGAGACCAGGCGTGTTCAAATGGATATATGGAGCAACCTAAAACAAACATACAGTGTTAAAACAATTTTAAGATTATCCCCGATTGAGTCAATAATAAAAAATATACATTTTGTGTCAAAATAATAGCAAAAAATTTCGGAATATTGTCTCTCGACGATACAATAATTATTGAATTTAAGTGTAATTCGTGGGAATTTTTATAAAAATCGGGAAATTTTGACCGTTTTCTTTGGAAATCATATTTCTGATAATTGGCAATACTGATCATTAATATGAAAAACACCAATATCCGTTAAGCATTATTGCCGTTATAGTATTTACAATTTGTGGTTTGTAATTTTTTAGTTAGACTTGTTCATATATAGCCAGGCTATAAATAATTATTATACAATATTGATGTCTACTAGGAATACAGAGAGTTTTATTATTTTTACACATATTCCATTTTTTAAAGATGATTTTTTTTATATCTACTAAATTGCAATTTTTGCAATCCATCCTAATCAAAGATAGATTCTTGTTCAGAAACCACGCGTACTACATAGCTGAATGTATTTTTGTTTAGGAAAAAATCGAAATTGAATACTGTTAAAAAAAAGGATATTGGGAATGTTATCGATCATCATTCCCAAGCCAACTGAATGGCATTTTTTTTTCGATCGTGCGGTATTTATGAAATGCAATATTTTAATATCCATTTCTCCCTAACAATTTAAAAATTTCCCCAAATTTAGTTGTATAGTCTGTTGTGGTAACCAAACTTCAAATAACTTTGACCTTGTTACACCCTGTTAACGTCGAATCGAAAGGATATTGGATAATAATTGAGGATTCTGTATTATTAGATAGTAAACATTATTCTGCAGATCATTAAGGTCAATGCCTAAGTTGAATGTGGTAAAAATTCTGCTACCTTCCCGTTTGGGAGGTGGGTTCAAATTGTACCTATATAAAACACAAAATTTTTTTAGTTCAATGTAATCACACAATAAAACACAGATTAACAAGACAGACGTTTATTCAGAGTAGGGTAGCTCATCATTTGAAACAATACAATTTAAAATGGTTTATATAATTCTTACAATAATATAGGGAAATTAAAATGACTATATTATAAATTAAATATTTGCAACAATTAGTAATACTGGTTACCAGTTAGTGTAACCTAGACTATAAGATTACCTACTCTACTAAAATTAAATACTAAAGAAAACGGGGTACCCACGATATAAATGATACTTATAATTACTAAATAAATGATAATTACTAATTAAAACTAATTATAACGCAGAAGCAATAAAAAATAGACACAACAATCTTTATTTTAAGTATGCAGGAACGAGTTAGCTAATAAAAGTTTGGTACTTAGCTTTTAGTCGTAAGGGTCCCAAAAATCCCCTACGCTAGGATCTGCCGCACAAACAAAAGGCCCAACCACGTGGCTTCTCCTTAGCTTATCAGTTGGTTTGAACGTCTAAGGTTTGAACAGGAACCTCGCTAGCCAGTCGTGAAAACCCTCGTGGAATCAAGTCGGTGTGTAAAAGGAAACCCAAACCAAGATGCCTAATTTAAAATTAACCCAATAAAAAAATTGTCCCACATGATAATTAATAATCCAAAATTAACTTACCCAAACTGTGGGCGATTTCCTTGGAAATAATACAAAAGATGCAACGCTATTAGTTTCGTCTCAATCCAGCCGTAGCTGTATGACATAACTAATATCAATTAATCGTAGAGAATTATTAACCTTTCCCAAAATCAAATGAAAGGATTTTTCAACTCAATACGTGACTTCACTGCCAGCGTGCCGAAAAGAAAAGAAAGGAAATCACCAGACAGGTGGGCGCTTGGAATTTTAATCTCGAAACCCCCTCCTGATATAAATTTAGCTATAAAATCCCTAGGTACTTCCGCAACTTGGTACTTAACTGTACCAATGTTGCCAGGATTAATCCGATATTAAAAGAAAATTAATAATAAATCAAACAATAATAATAAGTTAAATGCAATTACAATTAGATACACTTGATAATAGTTTAAGATCACTAATAAATAAAAGTATTAAAATAAGTTAAATGCTATAATTAATTATTTAGAGACTAAATATGAATGAGGTGAAATATGATTGAAGAAAACTTCAAGACGCTGGCAACACCGTTAGACTCGTTGATGATTTGACGTTTGCCCTAACCACAAATTAATTAATCGTAACAAAAATCACAATCAGATTATTTATTAAAAATAATTGTTGAAGGTATTATTGTTATTAAAAGGTATGTACATCGTTTCTTATAATATAATTAATATAATATGATTTCCCTTTGTAGCAACCAAACAACTAACAAAATGCAATGAATATTTCCACTAGAACAGAAGTAAACAAATGCCAAAAGTAAGTATATGAAGTGGTTATTATTAATATTACTTTAATTAACGTTATTTTAGATAAATAAGAAGTCTTTACACGATGCATTTACCCTTCCATAACCTGAAGAATAATACCTCAAGATCGAGTCAAAGATATTTACAAAATATTACATTTGGCTAAAAATATAACAATATAAGTTAAATTATGATTTAAAGTTAACGCACATTTACTTTACTTTTAATAGAAAATAAATAAATAATTAATATGTATTAAGAAATGTATTGTTATATTTTATTAACGTGTCATCTTCAAGGTTATAAATAAAAATAATAAATCATCACATTCACCATTTTGTCAAGATGTATGATTAAAATAAATATAAGAAAATTAACTCCCCTTTAAAATATATAACCGTAACAATTCCTGAGTAAGGTAATGTTACAACCACCTTTGAAAGAGAAGTAAAAACAGAACTACAAATATTCTTCATATATAGTTTCATAAACACCTATTTTACTAATATAATTTTAATGAAAGATTTCCAGTTTCAGTTGATTTTTTTAATTAATATTGTTTATATATTCAAATTTTACTTCTTAAACAAAATCCGAAGTAGTATAAAATATGCATCTATTTAAGTACCTTCTAGTTCAAAGTATATCAGTCAAAAAAAATCGTACCTCATAATTTACTGCTTATTTTCAATTAAAAATAATCAAAAGGTACAAAGGCATTCATTAATGTCAAATTTAGAAATTGCCCGTAATAAAAAATAGGTAAAACAAGGTGTTCAAATAAGAGGACCATAGGAAAATTATTTTAAAAGCAACACTATTTTACATTTTAAATGTATGTTTCAGAAATGATATTTCCAAAGATACAATTAAACTTTTCACAATTTTTATACATTACTTTAAAAGCAGAATATTTGCAGTCTTTACGCGAAAACCACTCGGAAAACCAGATCTCCCTATAGGTGACATAAAATATACTAAATACAATTTAAAATATATTGAAATAAAGGAAACTATTATATTTAATAAATTATAATTTTCCTATAAAAACATGAAAAGTGTTAATAGTTTTGACATTACTGCAAGCATTTTTCTTATCGCACTATGATTTTAATAATAGTCCGGAAGCATTGTGTGTCCCGTGGGAAAGTTAATGAAGTGAAGGTACTAATCGATAGATAAAAACATGTGTACAATAATGTAGATGGTGACACTTTCACAGATGTTGCGTGTGGCTATAATGACGTCATCCAAGATAGCCGTCGCTTCATTATGAACCAAGTGGCATATCTCGGTCCCAGCTGAACCGATTCCAATTTATCTTATTTTGATCGAAATCGATATTTGAACTAGCTGAAAAAAATATTCCATGCATTGCGAAAAAATGATAGATTCGATGATATTCCATCTTAAGCTAAAAAAAGATTATTTTATGCATCAGTGCCCAGCTAAAAGTAAATTAATTCAACTCTTGAAGTCTCTAGTGGAATCCACTGCCAAAGATTCTTTGTCATCTGCTCAAGTTCACCAATCAAATAACTGCGTTGCAGTTGTAGATGCAATGGGAGAATTGCAGGCTCTTGATAAAACTAACGCAGTGATAACTTGTAAAGATCTTGCAGATTTGTTCGCCCAAAAGATCCAAAAGAAACACTGGCAATATGATGAACTTCGTGTTATTTTCGACACGTACTTGGACGAATCAATAAAAAACCTTACTAGGGATAAGAGGCTTCATGACGGTGTCGCAACACAGTACAAAATATGTGACACAACTGACACATCAAATATAAATTTGAAAAAGTTGTTGTCACATACTCGTACCAAGGATGAATTAACCACCTATCTTGCACATACAATTCTAAGTCATGCCAAGATATCAGCAAAAAAAATATGTTGTTTCATGGCGCGCTGTAGTTTCTGCGACGCACTGCTCTGGATTGTTTTCAGAGTACTCAAGAAGAAGCCGACACAAAAATTATACTTCATGTTATTAATGCGAAAGTTAGAGGTGCAGATACACTACCGGTATTTGCTAATGATACAGATATTTTAGTTTTTCTAGTGAGGCGCTATGCAAAGCTTCAAGAAAACACCTTTTTTGTACCATCATCAGGCAAGGCAATATCAGTTAAAAACATAATATGTTTATATTATACCCACGATATATATTTCACTCGAACCACTAAAATCTTCAGCATTGCCTGGGTTCCATACAATATCTGGTTGTGACACCACCGGAAGTTTGTTTGGAAAAGGAAAGTTGTCATACTGGAAGGCATTTGTTTCAGCGAGTGAAGAAGAACTTACTGCCTTGCAGAAACTTGGTACCAGTGATCTACTATCTGATAATGTTTAGCATCAGCTAGAAATATTTATTTGTCGAGTTTATAAAGCAAGCACTCTAACAAAATCACTTGCAGAATTACGATGGTCAATGTTTATTGCCAAACAAGCCCTTGGAGATAAGTTACCCCCCAATAGAGGTTCCATTGTACCCGCAATTAAGAGAGCTAACCTCCAAGCCTTTGTGTGATCAAAAGATGATGAACCAAATGCAGTAATCCCTAATCCAGTTGGACACGGCTAGTATTTGGAAGAGGGAGTGCTTACCCCTGTTTTGTGTGAAGAACCATGTGCTCCAGAGTCTC